GTGATTGCTGGACAAGGAACAATAAAACTATCCTCATCGTTTCTTCAATTTTGCTTTGAGCACGAACAGTTATTGTCCCTTATTGTTTTACTGTGTCTCGGCAACTGCAGGTCACTTGGTCTGAAAAAAGACAAATTTAGAGCATCAGATGCAAATGGCCTGCAGTGTTCTGGTTATCTATTCAATCGATGACAGTTAATTTACTATTGTAAATGCCTTGATTATAATTATCTTACTTTAAGCCATTGTCAATGTGATCTTGAGAGATAGTAGATGCACCCTACCATAGTGTTGAACTTGGTGGCCCAGTCTTGTACCCCTTTGGTGAATGACAGTGAGGGTGCCATATACAGCTGTTCTCCGAGAATCCTGTGAGCCACAGCTGCTTTGTTGACAGACGTGAGGAGGACGCAGTGCTTGCCACGGATGATAAGTCCGTCTCCAAACTGACCGGTCTCGTTGAGTGGCTCGCCCACTCCACGATTGTCATCAGCTAGAGTGCGTCGGTGGATCTACAGTTTGATGAAGAACTGGGGTTTAAAGCTGAGTTAAAGTTCACACTCTGACGCTGTACATACCTTGTAAATATTCAAGAAATAATAGCCCATATATGCCGTGTATTATGTATATAAACTTCTGTTATATTGTTCATAATCACGAACGTGATCACAAACTTGGTGAGTGAAAGTTTCATTTTTGGTGGTTAACTAATCAAATGTTCACATAGTGTAGCAAAGCTTGCAAATCAAAAAGTGAGCCCTGCAAGGCTCCACCCAAAGACCTGGTGAAGGGAAAACCTTAACCATATTGGTAAGAAATAAATGGTTAACAATTTGAAACAGTCTAATTTTATAGGCAACGTCAGCCAGAGAACTTTTTTCATTGCCAACTTACCATGATTTCCAATGACCCATCTTGGACACTGCTTCCACCCTGAGACCTGTCAGTCATCACCGTCAGTTGCATCTTAGGATCCTGTATTTGTGACCAACACCACAAAACACCACTGAAAACTAATGATCAAAAGAAATGTGGCAGAGTGGGACTCGAACTTCAGACCGAGTGAAGAGCAGTTCAGCTGCACTACCAAGCTCAGCTGAAAATGCTGAATATTGCAGCTCCATCATTTCCCTTCAACTGACAGAACAAGAATTTTCACACTCTTGCAAAAATAAACGGAATAAACCTTCAACAACAGAAGCTATGAGTTAGGTTACTTAGGTACCTTGATAAATGCCCTGCTGTTGATAGGGTAGTAGTTACCAGATACCGGCTCCGTGTTGCTATACTGCCAATCAGCCCGATGGTCACGGCTATTAAGAAAAAAAAATACCATCTATAAGTATGAGCCTCAAGTTGGACCAAGAGAGGGTGCTATTTTCTCAGCAACAGGGGCTCCTTTGGTACTAAGTGCACATTGCTGGTTCACGTACAAAGGACTAGGAAAAAAGCAAGCATTGCTGTCATGTCGCTACCATCAAAATGAACACTCCCGACCACTGAAATGTCAAAATGAATACTCCCCACAACTGAAATACCAAAATGAATACTCCCGACCATTGACTAGTTAACAGACAGGATGGCAATCCATACAATGTTAACAAAAGATGACGGTTTTATTTTTATTTAATCAATTTGTCTCTCTTCGACCACTTTGAAATTGTATGAAGTCCACAGAATGTGCCACTGAGTCATGGCACAGGTTTTGGCTCGGGCCACTTACTGGGGCTAATAAAGGACATCTCCTGCCAAACAAAAAAAGATGTGGGTTATCATGAAAGTCCAAAACGTAAAAAACAGGTACTTCATTTGTAACAAATAATGACTTACATTCTCTCAAGGATTTGCCTGCCATTGGCATCAGTGTAGAAAGTTCTATTGGTCTTCAAGTCAGTGTCGAACCTGGTGATGATTTCCTTGCCTAGATGATCTCTGCCAACAAAGAAAGGAAATGCTTATCTAAACCGAACAAGTCCATGACAAAATGAGTATACCTCAAAAATGGAAAGACTCAGATTGCAAGATATTCTGAGCCGAGCAAAAAGTATGACAATTTGGAGGTAGTGCTAATGACGCTGGTGATGCCTGAATGGTTTGTAGCCAAGACGGGCATAATTGAAAGCTCTTCTGAAACTTTTAATTCGGAAAATTTTGCATGATGACAGGAGGGGAAGAACAGCATGGTGCTCAGCATGATTTCTGAACAATATTTGTCCCATCAGTAAGGAAGTCAACATCATCATGACAAGTTCCCACATTTGTTAGCCACAGCCATACAAGTCAGACATAGCCAAGTACTAACCTGATTGGGATAGGGCCAACCGTCCACTCAAACTCAGCGAACTCCTTGGCATTGTACAGTCTGATAACCTGACTCAGCCATGGCTGGAACTGCTGTCGTACCTCAACAGCAACTGGCCCCTGTCCGAGTTCAAAAAATCATAAACGTAGCTCTTACTGAATGACGCACGAGCCCAAAAAAATGGGAAGGCAGCGTAACAAAATCAATAAAAACAGGGTAGACTGCCGAAGTCATTCAAGACTGAAGCAAAAACATGCACTACCTTCACAACTTTCAAGCCAACAGAGGTGCCATTGAATAAGTCCTGGGGCGTCTGCTTGGCAGGCCTGAAGATGTAGGCACCAGATTTCTGGGAATCTTGCTCGGTGCCTACACTGCTGGTATACCAGTAGAAAGATTGCCTGACAGACATGGATCTTCCAGACTTCTTGTCTGTCATGGATTTCAGGAGGCCAGTCGAGCCGTCAAACGTCAGACTCAGGAACTGTTGCAGGAAGAAGCGATGTAAATTTAATTTTTACAGCCAGGGCGACCATTAAAGTGCACAGCGTTTCAATCTTAACCCTAAAAGCAGAAATATTCTTTGACATGTAAGCTAATAAAGTTGTCATCAGGAAGACCATATGGATGATTCCTCGTAATAATTTCAAAGAGATTGGAGATAGTAAGCAGTCCTCTCTATTCTTGGCATTTACACATTGAAAGAGTACTGGATAATTTGTTTACATGAAACTTGAAAATGGTTACCTGGTTTTCAACAGTCTCATCAGCTTTAGGTGTGAATACTTTATACTGGACATTGGACGGCGGGGAACCAGCTTGTCATGAAAGAAATATGATTGTAATATTCACCCTTTATTATTCCAACTCAAGGTCTCAATCAAAGTCTCTAACAAAGCAACTGTACTTTTGAAAAAAGCTCAAATACCAAAACAGATGTGTAAAAACTAAAGATGATGTGATAGCTAATAAGAGAAATACAAACTGCATAGAAATAGTTGTGTCTGACGGTTTTTACTTAACCCTAACCTCATTGAAAGCTACAAAATACTACTTAGTAGTAAAATGTACCATACAGTTCTGTGGCACCATGAACACATGACTTTATTGTTCTCTGTACGAGTAACAATGGAAGTGCCCCAGCTAGAAGTAGTAATATGTAGTGCTAGCTCCTTCAGGCTCAAACTACTGCTTAGTATTTTGTAGTACTGAGTACTGCACCCCAGATGGTATACCAGGGGGTTTGGGTTAATGTACACAAAAACTGTAGCAATTCTTTGCAAGAGAGGAATATAATTGATGACAGGTGCACAGCCAACAACAGTAGTATTAGTAAGAATGTAGGGGTGTCATCTTACCACCAGGCAGGCTATTGGCAATGTAGGTACTAAACCCAAGAGGAGGTAATGTGATCGGGAAGAGAAGCTCCTTGGGTGCGTTGCCACGATTCCGCCTTGCTTGCTTCGTACCCTCGCTCACATCTTGCAACTTAAGAAGGCACCCCCCCAAAAAAAGAATTACCTTCAGTTTCAAACTGAACACAAAGTAGCAGGCTTAACAAGAAATGCCAAGTAAATCCACCACAGTCACATATCGTCGTGTCGGTGCAACAAGGTTGTAACTCTTATTTGTTTTGTGCACGAGATCCAACCTTGTTGCACTGACGTGACAATATTTCTTGGGAAGTTTAACAGGTATTACAAACATCATACTTTGAATTCTGGTCCACATGGTTCTAAAGATAGCCTGTAAAATACAATATAAATTATTTTTGCTAGAAAGCCAATAAGAAACGGTGTTGTAGTCGAGACTACTTAAGACCTTCACAAGGCCACACAAGACCAACACCAGACCTCCAGTCTGAATTCAAGTCACAAGCTATTTAAATGAACTGCAACAAAAGCATCCCTTTGTCATTGTTTACACTGTTACTTGTGACTGGCCAAGTGTCTGGTCTTGTGTCTGGTCTTGTGATGGTCTTGTGTCTGGTCTTGTGATGGTCTCGACCACAACACTGATAAGAAACTAATACCCCAACACATATCACAGCCGATGACATTTGACAAATTTCCGCAGTAATGTGACGAATAATCTAAATTGGCAAACAAGAATACATCTTTAAGACAAGTGTGTTATTGAAAGGATACTATGTGCTTGGCCAGTCTTATACATGCATTTAAGACTGGTTCAGGAGAATGAACATGACGGCATTAAGACCGGCCAAGCACATATTTATTCTCGTTCATAAATACCTTTTTAGTCAGTGAATCAAAAGAAATCAACATATGATGGATTTCCAACGATTTGCTTTGTTGTCCAAAACAATCTCCTGATGGACTTGGTATGCGCATGACGAGCCATGTGCACAAAGACTCTTGACCACTCAGAATCGATTAAACTGTCCATTATCACTTCTCACCGGACATCATTAAATGTTAATACATGGTCAAGTTGCACATTGTTGAATAGGGAGACTGCCTGGGGTATTTTTGAATAGTTAATAACCATGACACAAACCTGGGTGGTCACCATCTTCCCGTTAGGACCGGTAATACTGTAGTTCCCTTTCACTGGTATTCTGACCACTGTCGTGACTTGGCGTGCGATTGGGTTATAAGCCGTTATTGTAAACTAAAGAAAAAAGAAGAAAAGTGTTTAATTATAGCAAGGGCTTCGACAACAGAGCAGAATTTACACAAAGTTTAGTGACCTGGTACCTTTGACCAGTGTGGTGATATCTTATTCCTTGTGAGGGTCTGTGATCAGTGGGTTCTCAGGAAAATTAACTTTCTTCTTAAATTTTCTGAGATACTTGAAAGAGTGTCCATATCACAGGACGTTGTTGCCGGGTAAAACAGGGCGCTCTTACGATCACGTAGGAAGCCAATAGCCCACCTGTTGATTGTCTACGGTGACAGGGCACACGCTGATGTTGAGATAGTCACAGAACACCGCTTGAGGTGGCTTGACAGTAGCATTCTTTTGCATTAGGTTTCCCAGTACATCACCGACGAGCTCCTGAAGTTGAAAAGGTTTGTATATTAGTAACTGACACATAACCTTCAAAATGGTTCAAATCAAAACACATGTGGTTTAGCATGCCTAAAAACCAAATGTGTCGAATTAGCAAATCTGACACTTTCATGACCTTTTCATATCTCTAAATAAACCTCAGCAAAGTTGTCCAAGTATTTGTTTCACTGCACCAAATAAATTCAAGGAAAACGTTTCCCTTTCCACGGTGGCCAATGCCCAAGCTGCAAGCCATCAGTCTCATCAAGTCACAACTTGTGAGTTGGAAACCCAACACACTTCTAGTTCCCACTGTAAAAATGCTACAGTCCAATTTCAGCATTCCAAAAATGAACAGGAAACTCTGTCTGCATATCAACCAACCTGGCACTGAGCACGCCCCTTGTACAACCTCTCAGCATAGTCATCGGCCACGTGTTGCTTCTCTGTCCCTCTACAAACAGAGTAAAACACAAGCATCTCTAAAACACGAAAGTCTTTCCCACTCAAAAATACAATAACACTCTCCAATAGCTCAGATTTTGGATTAATTAATTCTACGAAGGACCACTCTACTCTTTAAAGTCTCAAGCAAAACAGAAGAGAACTACTGTATCTTGACCTCCTTTGGTTACAATTAACAAACAGCCAACCAAGCTTGTAAAATGTATGATCTAGAATGATCATGATGAATGTATGATGTAGAATTTCACTTTGACAAACAAATTACATATTATTTTGTCACAGATTTACTTCAGGATAACATTATTTTTGGACTTACGATACAGCATCATGATGCTGAGCAACGCCCATTGACTTTCCTGAAAAAGAATCAGACAAATTGTATCAACAATATACTTACAAACTTTAAAATTGATTTTGAAGTATTCTCTGCTCTATTACTTCCTGAAGCCACTGCGTGGAATCACTACAGGAAAATGAAAATGATGTGTAAATTCTGACGATGCCACTGAAACTTTTAACCATTCTTGAACTAAATAGCTTTTGACTTTCAACTGTTATTTGAGAAGACCCCACTTTGTAAACAACATGCTTGATCTAGAAGACTAGACCTGTGCAAAACCGTCTCAAGCCGTCTCTTGTCAATGTGGAGAAAAAATAAAAAAGGAGTTCAAATATTTCTTACTCAGAGTGCTGGAGCTGGTCTTCAGTTTAAGGCCAGGTAGCATTGAGCCCCACACTTCCAACTGCTTACAAACCTGAGACAATGCAAGGTGCAAGGAAGTCCAAGATAAATTTCATTACGCTCTATTTCTGATCAATTAATGAAGCATGCATGACAGATTTTCTCTGGGAGTAAAAAGGCCCACCCACAAAATAGGAATAACCGTAGAAGCACTCAATTTAATGCCCAAAATCCTTTTATAAATAAATGTTACTGTATTAAAATTAACCTAGTATATAAGGCTTAAATCACTGAGAATTCCTTGCTGTGAATTCTAAGAAATAATGCTCATTTTAAAAAAATGAAATCACCAAACTAGTATGGAAAAGTTGTAAGCCATCTACCTCATCCTACAATTTAATGCAGATGTATTCCCAAATCACCACAAAATAAAAAGGCTTGGCTGAACATTTAAACTTCAGCTTGTGTCAAAATAGGGTCTCGAAGTGAGTACGTGTGCATGTTGGTTCACACGCTGGTTCTCACGATAATGCCTTTTAAACACATAACTATGTGCGTGACATATCCACTTCCGTATTCTATAGACATAATAAAATAATAAGTAATTCTGTCAGATGCATACCACGAGAGAAACATGGCAGGTATTTATGTACCTGTAGGAAGTTATTTGTATCTCTCACGTATCCCTTGAGAGCGGGACGACTCGTGAAGTAACCCGTCCAGAAGGCATGGGGTTGGTCCGCATAGGGGAAGAAATCGTCTGACTTGGTAGACCACGTCTTGGTCACTTGGTTCAAGCTATGCGTGTAGCATGACGGAGTGGAGTAGAATGCATGTACATTGGTTTCATTTTGCTGTCAAGAAATACAAAACAAACCCATGAAACTATTTGCATCAGAGGAAAATCTTGAGGCAAGATATTTATTGGGATGTTAAAAGATCTTTTAAATCTTACAATGTATGCCTATAGATCCTTCTTTCTATGTCTTAATCGATGATTTTGTGTGAACTTCACCACCTACATAGGCCCAAATAAAACTAGATGTAAACATGCAGAGTTGGAATAGCAAATTGGTTTTTATCACAAGGAATATGGTAGGCTCACCTTTAAGTTGACATATTTTATGAGTTTGTCCAAGTTTTTGTACCAAGTGTGAGCGTCACTGTACTGGAAGTCAGAGCCCATGGTGAACATGATGTGATTGGTACCATAGACAGAATTCTGGGAAAAGTTCGAGAAAGAAGAAATGGAACTGGTTATAGCAGCATTTTCAAAATCTGACTGGTACCTTTGACTTGCAATATGCCACTGTAAAACTTTTGGTTCCATGTGCAGCGGGTCCTGATCAAATGTAGAAGTCCAAAAAACATTCTGATGAAGTACGTGTACGAGTCCAAAGTTGGAAAAAACCTGAACTTGTCCATTACCTCATATATCAGATGCCATGAGTGAACTGCAAAGTACTCACATAACATTGTGATGAAATAGACATATACCAAGACTCAATGAGTCCAGATCAATAGGCATGTACGATACTGTCAATGATCAAGTTTAGTCTGGTATCCCAGGTTTCAAGATATTAAGTTTGGACTGGGACTCAGCTTCTAGTGTTGGGCATAAGCAAACCACAGATCACATTTTTACATCCCATACAAAGTAGTAAAACAGGACTACATTATGAATGTGTCTGTAATGGCTGCCCACAATGCACAAAGTTGGCTCCAAGTACAAACTCAAGATGAACTTCCTCTGTTCATTAGCTCAAAACCAATATTATTGCCAACTTTCCTCCACCACTTACCTGTACTTTAGCAAGTAAGACAAACTTAGACACTCTGTCATCAACATTGTAGTCAACTAAATCCGGGTCATCCTACATGCAACACAAATAAAGGAGGCGTTAACTAAAAAGGTTTGCTGAATCCATCTGAATACTTTTCACAAAGCTAACGAACGAAGGAAGGCCAACTTACAAAAATAAATGTGTGTATGACATGCTACCACCTGTAGCATGTCATACACACATTTATTTTTGGAAGTTGGCCTTAGTTCGTTAACTTTGAAAGTAATAAATTTTTTTTATTTTCAGACTTGCAAAATGAGTATCTGCTCTGGCATCACAATTTAACGTTGGCATTTACACTTTGAAGCCAAGAATAACCCTGCATTTAGAGGGCAGGGCAACATGCATATGCTTGGCATGGTATCATGTGAGGTACATGTACAATGGCCTGAATAAAACATTCACCATAATTGGAGGGTCACTGCAGAAGACATCGAAGCAAAACCCTGGGGGCGGTCCGTAGTGGAAGAACAAGGCTCCGAAGAACAGGTCAGATGCCCTGCCCAGGCTGGGAGAGGTGTGCCACACACGTTCCATGGTCTGCGTGGAGGCTCTCTCTCTCTTATCCAAGTAGTCCAGGCGAGCAAAGTAAAGGCTGTCGAATCCCATCTGAAGTGTTCAAGCAGAGCAAAGAGAACAGATGCAGAAAATCTCATACCATCACCTGCAGCGTTATTTGTGAGCCTTCTACTGACTGAAGATGCACGCTGCGAGCACACTTGGCTAAAGTCTGGTTGGCAAGTTGCAAAGACACCACTGAACTAGAGTTTTGTTATTTCCCTCAGCTCTACAGCTGCCAAAATGCCTTGCTGGAAATATGTGAACTGACACAAAATTTATCTGTAACGAATTTCATTTTAATATCAATTGGACATCTTGACAATTACCAAGCTCATTTGCACAACACAAGACTGGCTTGACTACAAGCTTCCTCCATAATCACGCACAATCAACATAATGTGCAAAGGAAAACAATTTGTACTACATGTATTTACTTAATAAGTAACAGGACAGTGCTAAACATTGCCCTCAGTGCAATCACATCTCAGGGAACTTTTAACAGTGAAGTGATTTCCCAGTTCCCACTTTTTCCTCATTTTGAGAGAGCTGTCTATGCACATTTTTACATTACCTGTGCAGCCAGGGATGCATATTCCCTGGAATGGCCGAAGGGGTCTATCTGCCAGGCTGTTAATGGCTTGCCACAGTCCCCAAAGTTGTCCTTGAGGAACTTCAAGCCGATGGTCATTTGGTCGATGATAGCGTTGTAGTGGGTAGTCGCTTCATCATTCATGCACCAACCACCATTGACAAACTCCAAGCGACCTGATTTAATGAAAAAAAAAAACATTCTAAATACATTTTCAACAACCTCCCGACCAATCCAAAATCAGTCATTTTTTTAGATTGAGCTTGGCAGGACAACTATGCATATAATAATTGGTTCTGAAGAAGAAAATCACTACATCTAGACCTGCATATCAGAAAATAAATTGCTAAAGCTTTAGCCCCCCAAAAATGACGATGAAAAGTGTGACTTCAAGATCTGTTTAACAGATAAAAAAAAAATTAACAGATTGTGAATAGATAATAAACAATCAAAGAAGACAGACAACCGACATTATCTTATTAAAAAGAAAAGGAAAAAAAGCTGCCCCCAAGGGTTGTTGTTTCATGACAGAAACAATGTTTTATCTTTGTTTAATATACATCTATATTTAACTAGAAATAACAGAGAGGTACTATTTGGCAGGCAGGTCACAGTCAACAATACTGTCATCAAACAGTTCAAAAAGCACAGATGACAGGCATGGACATATGTTCACCTTCATTAACAAGCTGTTTAACCAATGCTTTGGTCTTGTCCGTCTGCTCATTCCACCATCGTTCAAAAAATGCCGTCTCCACATAGCTGAAACGTTTGACAGGGTCGTTGGCCAACTCTCTTGTGACTGTATCAAGGATGTACTGCACAGCAGCATTCTGGATTTTGTTCTTGGCTAAAAGGAACAAAACTTTGCTATCAATTCACCAAAACTGATTTTTTTCATACTCTGCCTCTAATAACAGTGAACTGCATATCTTTGGCCCAATTCCTTGAAGTTGCAATTGCAACGAAATTAACTATGCCCACTAATTAGCCACCAAAGTTCTCTGAAATTTCCGCAAGCCAAGGTGATGATGATACAGCGAATTTGAGGTCCAAATCTGAACTCTTCTCAAGAACACCTCAGGAGATGAGAAAGTATAGCTCTATTTCCTGCAACAAGAAAATAACCTTAGAAGACAAACAAGTTTTTAAGATATGGTAGGTTCATTTGGTTGCAAGGGCAGAGCCACGGTGGAGAAGGACAAGAACGATGGCCTAAAGATCCTCCAAGTTTGTTGTTTTTTATAAGGAGAAGCAAGTTTTTGTTGTCTATTTCATTTCCCTTCCTTCAAAAAGCATGTAAAAAACTGCAAAATGTAGCCTCAACCCTCAGAAATGCCATCACAGGTTACATGAAAACATGATATGTCTTGTCTTCTCCCCCCTACCACGGAAATTTTGTTCTGGATCTGCCCTTGTTGGTTTAAACTGTAAATACTGGTAAATGACTTCAAAGCCTGTGACAAAAACGACATCAGCATTTGGAAAAATAGTCTGGGTTATGTAAAACTTTCCAAAACAATCCTGGCATACCGCCATAGTAGTACTGGTCAACTGTCTTGAGCCATCCAACATCATCGTGAGTATGGGGCACGAGATGAACATTCAGCATCCCTGGAACTGTGGATGGACATGCCTAGAGAAATTTCAAAAGGGACACACAAAAGGATATAGGCCTATTTAATTAAGTGTTTCCTTGCTCTACGATTTAATATCATCTTCAGCTGTTCACTACTTTGGGTTGAAGGGAGGGGGACAGAATTTGTAGACACGATTTCACAAAAATTAGTGATGCATGTACATATGCAAATTACCTTACACCCAATTTTCTGAAGCAGGTGAGGTAGGCCTACATACATGCAGCTAGACCAGTTGAATAAATTATTAAATACTAGGTCTGACAACCCTTCTTGAACTTCAACATGTTCAAAGCACTTAATTTTTTTCCAACCAACTATCAATAATCAGACTAAGTACATCATGCAGTGCATGGGCCAATGGACATATCGCATTGGCCCAGTCACTATTGTGATGAACGGTCACCTTGCGCCTTATGTGACACCACGACCTTTTCGTCCCATAGTACTATGCGTGCCATTTCCTTTCTACGGCAGTAATGAACCCACACCCTCTGACCCTAGCTGCACACACGACAAGATAACAACGCAACGTCACTTCAGCCTGGTGGTGCCTCATAATATTTTCTCATTAAAAAGGATCGTTTGAATGGCCTACTTCATATCCACATGTTGCCAGAACACCTCTTGACGCATAGGCTAGGAAAGACAGGAGTGTGATGAGACGAAGATGCATTTTGGGCAACAACACAAGGCGCTGCCGTCCATAAGCACGTGATGTCGGCCAAGTCATGTGATGAGTCATGTGGAAGCTAAAAAGAAGAGGATGAAATAGAGGGCGCTGTGCTTATGAACAGTTAATTCAATTTCTAAACTACGACCTTCTTCCAAATGTGGCTTCATCGCTGATATCAATTACAAAATACTTCCATCTTTTGGTTGCCCGCTAATAGCATGCACTGTGAATCCCTAGTATCAAACTAGAACTTTCATCCAGCTGAAAAACCTCAAAATCAGGGGTAAAAATTATGCTGAGCCAATTCGTATGTCTAACATGACGTCAATCATACGCGTGTCAATCAATAATAATCGATAGCACCTACGAATGATGCGCGGTGTCGATGCGTCGGGCGTGATTTTTCATCACGCATACTGACCGTACACGCAGTGGACACGTAAGCAGTATTACGTTATTAAAACAACGTGGAAAGCGGGAAGTGAAAAAATCGGATCTTCGCCAAACTAGGCTACATGTACCACCGTACCCTCCTGGGTACCGTGTGACTATGAGCTCAGCCATTCAAAACTGAGTAATATAATAAGTTCAAATAACCCAATCAATTCATCATGGCGGCGGAGCAGACGAGGAAGCGGCGTTCTGTTGTGTTGACAGCGCTCTTGTTGCTCTGTATGTTACTGTTACTAGAGTTACCAGGAATTCTGGCGGCACCGATCACATCCACCACAGCTGAGCATGTTGAGACAGATAACGTGTCCGTGACTCAAGGTAGGCGTGGTGTGTGTTGGTCATCACGGACAAACTGTACTAAGCTAAGGAGCGCGGAAAGAGTTCCCCAGCTCCGGACAATACACGTAGGGCCTACTCGTAGCCCAGTGGACGTGGGCGTCGTCTGTTGCAACTACATATACCATCCATGTAAAGTTCTCCTGCCATAGTGGAATTTTTCAATAGCTTTTTCACACATTTTTCATGTTTTTACCTGGCAGAGGCAGCTCAAAATGTTGTTCACAAGTGCCTTATACATGATATAGGTACATGTTCCCCCAGAAGTGTGGGGTCCACTCCGCTTCTTGGAAGCAGAGCGGACGTCGGACCCCACAGTTCCAGGGGGTACCTTGTAGGCCAAGCCAGAATGCTGTTTTGAAATTACTAAGTACGCCAGCGAACAATGTATTTTGCCAGAAATTTAGTACAACTCCACGCTTTCCATCGTGAGCGATCTACGTTCGTCTAGCATGTCTAGTACACTGTATGTGGCAGTACACGTTTGTGCTTGCATGAAATACATAGCTACCGACTGCCCCCAACTGCATGCACAAATACTGGATGAATGTGGACTGTTCACCACATGTTCATGAATCACGCTAGGAAGCGTGGAGTTCCACTAAATTTCCTGTGAAAAACGTCTGTGGGCGTATTTGTTAATGTCAACACGGCATTTATGGAATTCAGGAAACAATGCATTCGTGAACGACATTTTGAGCTGCCTCTGCCAGGTACATGTAAAAAATGTGAGAAAAAACTATTGACAAAATTTGGCTGTGGCTGGAGAATTTCATACATGTACCCTGGACATCAGTCGTCCTGTAAATGAAGAAAACATCCAACCTAGTTGTAACATACATGACAGAGACCAACAAACATGTGAATGGTGAAAAGGGAAAATTAGTGTTGTCCAAAACTGGAACTCTTTTCCCAAATGGTTTACCATGTTTGTACAGTGTATCCTTTTTGAGGTTAGACATGAATCATTCTATAAATTCGCTGTCCAAAAGTGTGACGTGTTTGTGTCCCTGTTACCCCTGACCTGTGCAGTTTCACTTGGACATATCATCAGGATTAATTTCAAACTATGACAGGAATCTGAATGGCGCTGTCCTCGAGCCACGCCCTGCAGAAGTTCATCAAGAATACTAATTTCAGCTTCTAGCTTAGCTATTTCTTCTTTGACAGATTTCGCGTTGGCTAATAATGGTGTTGATTGTTCTAAACGAGCGTGATGCATGTTTGAGAGATTCCCCTCAGAAGTCTGTTCGCTAGCCATAATACATGTGCTTTAAATTATCAAAAACACACAATTTCCATTTAAAAGAAATAAGCCAATGCCGCTGCCACCAAAATTTGTAACGGGCCGAGCAGACTGGGGTATAGGAAAATGAATACGAACTACAACCCTCTTACATGTATCTTGAAGACCCAGAAACTTGAGCTTATTTTGCATGTTTTGGCTGTTAACAATCTTATACATGTGTGTAGATGGTTTTGAATAAACATGAAATGATATGCCCATTGTAATTCATGTAATTGTCCTGTCAATTTTTAGTGAAAAATCATGTTGGAAACATCATTATTTCAGTGACCTCTACATGTAAATGTACAGTACATGTGTAGGTCGACATGTACATCTTCTGAAAAAGAGACAAAGTCCTCTTTAATTTTTACACAGGTTTCAGAATGTACCAGAAAAAAAGAAACAAAATATCTTGCTTTGCTGTACACCCGACTGTCACTCTTTGGAATCTCAAATTTGTGGCTAGTTGTACCCCTTAGTGTTGAAGTATAAAAAATATGTGTACTGTACTTGTATATGTTGGCAAAAAGGCTGGATTTGGAGGAAATGATTTCACTGTGGAATTGCATGTATGACAGATTGGATTTTACACAAATTACAATATGTAAATCACCTCCCCCTGCCCTGAAATAACACAATTAACACATAATAACAACGAGAACCTTCAACATCAACACCATTTCCCTGCTTTCTCTGTTGTAGGCGACACAAATGTTGAAGGAAAGGAAAAAACTAAAGAAGTTGGTGTTGATGGAGGACTAGAAGACGATAAAGAAGGTGGAAAGAACAGAGAAGAAATCCCCACACAAGGCAGTAAGCAAACAGGGCAAGGAAGCACTGAAACAGGGAGTGAAGATAGACGAGA